AAGATATAATTTAGTGATGCACTGCAATTTAGGCACCTAATTATTTTTGGCTAAAATAGTTTTTCATTGACCGAAACAGTGACATAATTAGTGTTTTGCCTCAGTCTGTGTCTATTTGGTTAACACATTGTGGATAAAACAACAGGTAAAAATTTCAGCTGTGTGGAGGCTAGTGCTGGGTTAACAATATCGATTTAAACCGTAAGATCAATCTTTAAGTCTATACTGTTTTCTGTTGATGCATAACTTCACTAAACATTACTTGTAGCACACCTGCCATCCAATAATCGCAGTAAGCTTTGTGCTCAGGTTCCAACAATATCTCGGCAGTGTCTTCTGTTGATTTTTGTTGCTGTTTTTTAAGATTACATTTTTTTGGCGTTTTGCCTTTATTTGATAGGACAGTAGTTAGACAGGAAGCAAAGTTGGAGAGAGAGAGAGAGAGGGGGGACGGAATCGGGACGCCCGAAGCGCAATGGCGCGACATGTCTCACGCTACCAATGATGCTATCGGTGCCGACAAAATTCTGTTAGTTTTTTGTCATGAAATACAAATTTCTGGTGGTTTTGATGCTCCTTAATGTGGCATGATAAAAAACTTCTGCACCTCACTAAAACACTGCTCCTCAGTTCATGCAGCACATGAACTGGTCATCTCTTCATCTTTACTACTAGTTACAGCACAAAATAATCATGAATGAACAGAACATATGATGTTAAAATAAACTGTACAACTTACTGAAATGTATCATATCTCATGTAATGAGAAACAAAGACAAATACATCACTAAAACGGCTTGTCAAGTAAACAATGTCATATAATGTTACATTTACCTCAGAACAGCCATTCAGTGACCATAAACTCAGTAGTCAACTTGAAAATAATCACTCTAGAGAGGAGCATTTTGCTAAATATGTGAACTATAACTTTTTTACTTAACCTGTTTTTTCCTTAAAATGTATGTTTGAATAAATCTGTCATTAAAAACAAGTTTTTATTTCAGCCACCTTTCAAAATGTAGTTCAACAATAAAGTGGACAGTATAAAGTTGACATAAAAACTGCCTTATTTGCAGTTTAAATGTCTTTTAGTTTTTATTTGATTATTGATCATTAAAAAAAAATGTTTTTTGCATCCTGAATTTTTATTTCAGTGCATCACTAATATAATGAACACTGAATGGCTTTCCTGAGGTAAATAAGACATTGTGACATTGTTTGCTACCTGTTTGATCAAAACCACATTTATTGTTTGAATTTCTTTATAAAATTGACTGAATCTGAAAGCTCAGACTTTGTTTGGTATCAAAAGTAACAAATCACAAGGCTTTATTCCAATTACTGGATGGATTGAACAGCATAGACTAAACAAAATCTCGGTTCCTCAAAATGAATATCAGTTGAAATTGAGAAATCCATATTGTCAACATAGTCCTAGCATTTACACCTCCTGAAATTGATCCACGTTGTGTATATGAAATAGAAACTTGAAATGCCACCGCCGGAGAAGCTCTTTGGGTCAGTGATTTTTGGCCCCCTTAAAACTAACTCTAAAACTTTCAGCCTTAAACCAGAAATTCTTTTTTTGGCTGAATATTCTTGGTTACCAGAATTTCGTTGCATCACTAAACAGGACTAATGGGTTAATGCTGTACTGTTTAACAGGTATCTGGTGACCCACCTCATGGGAGCAGACCTCAATAATATCGTCAAGTGCCAGAAGCTGACGGATGATCACGTCCAGTTCCTCATTTATCAGATCCTGCGAGGACTGAAGGTTAGGCCCAACCCACTGTTTTCACTTTCACTTGGTTGTAATTGCTCAATGTAATGGGAGCTTAAATTAATATCTATACATATATATTGAAAGCTTGCATTAAGGTCTGCCTCCATAAAAATAATAAGATCTGCCTCTATCCAATTAACAACCAATGGACAGAAGTTACCACCCTACTGTTTTATCTTTTTCAATAATCTTTTTCACTCAGATGTATGTCACAGTCACAACACAGAAGAAAAGATCTGTCGCTACTTATGTTACTTTTTTCCTTTTAATGCTACTCTTCATCATTCACTGCATAATTGCTATAGTTCACTCTCTCTGATGTTAATTTAAAAGATAATTATGTAGCACTTATGTAGTGTTCTATTTATGTAGAATACTATGTTTGTAGTGTATGAGCTAGAGTATGAAGGACTGTGTTGATTTAAAGTGTGCTCCACTTAGACGTCTGGTCTGCAAGTAACTGGTTCTCATTGATCTCTGTATTTGACTGAAGTGAGTTCATCAGTCTTTCTCTCCACAGTATATTCACTCGGCGGACATCATCCACAGAGTGAGTAGACCACACTTTCTGTTCATTACATCATTTATTTATGAGCAGTGTGGGGTTATTACTTTTGAAATAGTCTCTGGTAGGCCTGTCACGATAACAACTTTTTGTTGTGCGATATATTGCCCTCATTTGGACTAGCACCTCATGACTACACAACGTTATGTACGAGAAGCTGCAAAAGACACAGGCGCAAGTGGAATGTACAAAATATGGTGACATTAATTTTTATGTAAATATAATGGGTGATGTATTGCATCACCAAAAATTATTGAGTTCATGTACATATATTGCGCGATAAGTCGATATATTGATTATTGCGACAGGCCTAGTCTCTGGTGTTGTTTCAGTGTCATATTTTGGAAGTTAAAAAAATAATTTTATATTCCAGATATTTTATTAAATATTAAAGTTTTTTTTACATTATATATGCCAATATTTTATAACACCTTTCATAGTAATATATATATAGAGTCCTTACTTTAGAAATTCACTTCAGAATTTTTTTTGCTGAATCACTGAATTATTAATATAATGGTTCGCTCAAAAATTAGAATTTGCTTTAAATGTACTCACTCTCAGGCCATCCAAAATGTAGATGAGTTTGTTTCTTCATCAGAACATATTTGGAGAAATGTAGTATTACATAATTTGCTCACCAGTGGATCCTCTGCAGTGAATGGGTGCCGTCAGAATGGGAGTCCAAACGTATTGATCACAGTAATCCACAAGTAATCCACACCACTCCAGTCCATCAATTAACGCCTTCTGAAGTGAAAAGCTGTGTGTTTGTAAGAAACAAATCCATCATTAGACGTTTTAACTTCAAACCGTCATGTCTGGTCAAAATGCGAGTCCATAATCCATTATGTCATTATGTAACTCTTCCTCCAGTTAAAAATCCATCCCCTGTTGTCCCTCTCATCAAAATACATAGACATATTTGTTTAGAGCTGTTTTTGCTTGTGAACAGTGCTTGATCTGTGCATATTTCACTCCTGATTCAGACGAGATGACTATTCCTGGAAGCAACGGTTTAAAGTTAAAAAAACACTTTATTTGCTTCTTACAAACACATCTATTCACTTCACAAGATGTTAACTGATTGACTGGAGTGGTGTGGATTACTTGTGTATTATTGTGATGTTTTTATCAGCTGTTTGGACTCTCATTCTGACGGCACCCATTCACTGCAGAGGATCCATTGCATAGCAAATTATGTAATACTACATTTCTCCAAATCTGTTCTGATGAAGAAGCAAGCTCATCTACATCTTGGATGGCCCGAGGGTGAGTCATTTTTCAGCTAATTTTCATTTTTGGCGAACTGTTCCTTTAAAGCAGCACTATGTAACTTCTGGCGCTCTAGCGGTTAATAAACAGAACTGCACACATCCCAAGAACATGGGATGTGGAAGAACATTCCAACCGGAGCTACTTCTCTAAGTTTGTCTATGGTGATATACGCAGGTATGTGTTACTCTGCAGCGGTGATGACCCGACCAGGCTACAATAGTCCAAATATAAGTACTTATTATAAGTGTACCGTAGTGATTCGGAATAAGACAAAAACGCGCTTTGGAAGATGAATTCATGATGTACTCGCTCATTATATACATTTTGCAAATTTTGAACACCGAAAAAGTTACATAGTGCTCCTTTAAGGTGTGTAGGGATGGAAAGGCATTAAGAATTTTAGACCGATTTGACTGAAACGTTCAGCTTTCAGTCCGAAAATGGTTTTTCTCATTAGTATGGAATGCGAGTTTTATTGCAGGTTTTGCGAAGATTTGGTTTTATGGTCTCCTCTGCACCACTGCTTGCGTAAACACCTTTATAGTTTATAATTAAGGTTATTTCTTGCCGTGACATGATTTTAGCTCCACAGGATGACTTTTATTAGTGCATGAAGACCATTTGTATTAAAAAATGATGCAAATTCAAAGTAATTCTCACTTACACTATCTATCTGTTCATCTTTTCCCATAATACAGGATCTTAAACCCAGTAACTTGGCTGTAAATGAAGACTGTGAACTTAAGGTGAGAGCAAGCTTGCACTGATTGCCAAGATCTCTGCCATCATCATCTGATGCTTTTTCCACTGTCACATCTGTTATTATTATCTTCTGTTGACCAACAGTGGGTTTATAGTCGGGCAAACACTGAGGCACACAGTGTAATATGAGCGCTGATAAGTGTAGTTTATGGCTAATGCTTACTCTGATATCTGTGCTCAGATTCTGGACTTTGGACTGGCCCGGCTGACTGATGATGAAATGACGGGATACGTTGCCACCCGATGGTACCGTGCCCCAGAGATCATGCTCAACTGGATGCACTACAACATGACAGGTCAGGATTAGCCAGAATCCTCACTTGTGTGTTAATGAGTAAAAAAGCTTTTGTTTTATATTAAAGGGGTCATATGATGCGATTTCAAGATTTCCTTTCTAAATTTTTAAATTTTTATATTTGAAGACAACATGAAACGGCATTTTCAACTCACTTAACTGGCTAAAAAAGAATATTCAGGTGGAAATAATGTAGGATGGGATTTAATATTATTCATGAGGATATGATTGAATATTTAAAAATGGGCAGTGTTATAGGTTAGTATTATTTTTTCCAGCTCATGCAGTCTTAGTCACATTAGCAAAAATGCTTATACTTTATACCACAATATTGTATAATTTGCTTGTTTTTTTTGGTTTTAATTTCTATTTATTGGGTAAATTCTTATTGTTAAATGTCTTGATTCTGATTGGTTGATACACATTTATACATTTTCTTGCACAGCTGTGAATTTTTTTTCTGTTTGTAGATCGTATTACAGATGCATATCACCTTCTTTTTGACTAGTTAATAGTTTAAGTTTGGGTTAATGTGTTCTGTTTGGGATGAAAACTTGAAATTGTTAAATAAATAAATAATTAGATATGCAACTTTGTAATAACTTTGTGAAGCTTGTGGAAAAAAGAAATGTTGCCTTGGACGTTCTAATATTACTACAACTGAAATATAAATAAATTAAAGCTATAATGTAGAAATGAAATGGAAAAATGAAAAAGAACAACAAAATATTAAAACAAACTAAAATTAAAATGAAAACTGAAAATACAAAAATAATAGCGTATAAATACTATAATGCCATATGAATAATAGTATATGAATAGTTGAAAATAAATGCACATTGCAGCTGAGTCACCTTAAATTTGCATATTTTTTTATAATGCAATGTTCCATTGTCCATTATTCCCCACTTGTTGTTTCCCTACTTTTTTAAATAACATGCGCTGATTAATTTTGCACAGTAAGACTAAGGGCATTTAAAGGAATAGTTCACCCAAAAATGAATCGTTCCAAACCTGTATGGAAAAGTTGAACACAAAAGGAGATATTTTGAAGAATTTTGACGAACCCAACAGTTGTTGGCCCCCATTGACTTCCATAGTGAAAGAAATACTCTGAACGTCAATGGGCACGATCAACTTGTTTGATTACCCTCATTCTTCAAAATATCTACTTTTGTGTTCAACTTAAGAAAGAAACTCATACAGGTTTAGAACAACATGAGGATGAGTAAATTATAACAATTTTAATTTTGGAGTGAACTATCCCTTTAAGAAAATGAATATCATTTAGTCTTTAACAGAATGTATGTTGTTTCAGTGAATGAGAAGAGTGTTGTTGTTTTGTGTTGTAGTGGACATCTGGTCGGTGGGCTGCATAATGGCTGAGCTCCTCACAGGACGGACCCTGTTTCCCGGCACTGATCGTATCCTTTCCCCTTCATTCAACCCCTGCCCCAAATCTCTCTTTCTGGAAATACCCTTTAGTTGTGTGAAATTTTTGGCATGCATTGCCCGATCCCTCCCTCCATCTCTGCAAGTGTGAAAAAGACTAATTCATAGAGAGGCAGCGATCCTGAGAGGAATGAGTCAGCTAGAGTCGTTCCCGCTGCTTCCCAGTGAGTCACACTGCCTGATGGTCCTGTTGACAAAAAACATGAACTTTGCTCAGTCTTAAAGGACAAAGCACAGCGTGCGCCGCTCTGGGAATCTTAATGGTTTGCTGCTTCTGTTCTAGTGAGCGAGGTCGTCGAATCAAACCCCCTGTGAAAAATACAACGCACTCATACATTCAGAACACATTAAACAGGGTCCTAGCCTTTAGAGAGAGGAAGTGTGATCTGCATTTCAGGGAAGCCTGTGAAAAATTAGATTAGGATAAAGCAGTTGTTTGGTTGCCAAGACATGCAGATTATCTGCTTTCTGTGTGCATTTGTCTTTTTGTGTGCGTGGTGTTCTTGTTACAGTGTAATTATACATTTAAGTACCGAGTAATATTAATTAACTACATGTACTTACTATATGATTAGTGTTAGGATGAGGTTTTGGTTTAGGGTTAATTGCATGTAATTATGCATAATTTATTGTTATTATAATAGTAAGTATATGTAACTTGGTGTAACAAGGACACCTTAAAATAAAGTGTTACCGACTCATTGCGTTCTAAACTGCCTACAGGCGGTGATGCCACCAGAAGTGTTCAAGTGGCCATATTACTCTTCCCTAACAGCAGAGGGCATCATTGACTGACAGGGATATAACCTTGACCTTAAAGGGAGAGTTCACCCAAAAATGAAAATTCTGTCATTAATTACTCACCCTCATGTCGTTCCAAACCCGTAAGACCTTCGTTCATCTTCGGAACACAAATTAAGATATTTTTGATGAAATCTGAGAGCATTCTGACCCTCCCATAGACAGCAAGGATCCTAACACGATCAAGGCACAGAAACATAGCAAGGAGATCATTAAAATAATCCATGTGACATCAGGGGTTTAACAGTAATTTTATGAAGCTACGAGAATACTTTTTGTGCGCAAAGAAAACAAAAATAACAACGTTATTCAAGAATTCGTCTCCTTGCATCACCCTAAAGCGCCATTTTGGAGAGTATCACATACGTAAACAACGTATGCTGTTCTGCGTCAGCAGCACCGTACGCAGATACGCTGTTTACGCTTTGATCTGAACATTGTTTACGTATGTGATACTCTCCAAAATGGTGTTTTAGGGTGACTCGGAGGAGACGAATTGTTGAATAAAGTCGTTATTTTTGTTTTCTTTGCGCAAAATTGCTTAAAATTACGGTTGAACCCCTGATGTCACATGGACTATTTAACGATGTCCTTGTTACGTTTCTGAGTCTTGATCGTGTTAGGATCCTTGCTGTCTATGCAGGGTCAGAGAGCTCTCAGAATTCATCAAAAATATCATAATTTGTGTTCAGAAGATGAACGGAGGTCTTACGGGTTTAGAACGACATGAGGGTGAGCAATTAATGACAGAATTTTCATTTTTGGGTGAACTATCCCTTTAAATCACTCGATTTAAAGCATATCAGTCACACAGGATTAGTTTTTAGGATATGTGTATGTAAATGAATCATTACTTGAAATGTAATCTGTAATGTTTATGGTCATTTCGGGCAGAATAGGCGATATCGTTAAACTGTGTGTGTCTGCTGTACACTGATGACTCGGGTAACTGATCCAACACAAAATATGTTTCTTTACGTACGTAATTATGCAGGAAATATTAAACATAAACATATATCTGGTATTAGTGTCAGAAATTGATTCAAATAGATACAATACAAGCATCCGGTACTATATTGCACTATATTGTATTGAAATTCAAAGGTTACCATGCATCATCGTGGAAATTAAGCCTCATGTCTTTAAGTCCTTACCTTATGTAGTCAGCGTTACTTTTCTGAATAAGTTATGGTGCGTGTGTTTTATTTCCTGATTGAGCAACATCTATTTCATACTCTTCAAGATCACGCACATTCTATGGCATTTTACTATGTAGGAGTAATGTTATGTATACATTGAATTAATTATTAATTTAACCAGAATTTAAATCATAACGTCATGCTTCAAAATGCATGCTGTTAACATTTGCTGTTAGCCTACTGTACGAAAAAATTTTTTTTTTACATAAACAGTGAATAACTGTACAAGGCGAATTAAGGTGTATGCGTATACAAAGCAGAAATCTTCATTCGGATTTCAGAATGAGCACTTCATCATTTGAATTACAAATGCGGAGGATCTCATCTGTCTGATGTTCACTACTGTAATTAATATGATACGTAACTTTTTAATATGCAGAGGAAATTCCCAACATTAAACAAATCACCATTTACATGCTTAGGACGTTTGCGTTGTAAGAATGTGCTTCTGATATAAAAACGCTGACTCTTTAGGTGGTTTTCTCATTAAAAATATACAATTTCCTATTAACTCAATAGAATGTTTGGAATACTAGGAAATTCCTATGTGGCAGCGTGGTGGCTACACTTTTTATGATGTCATGAGTAGTGCTGTCAAACGATTAATCGCATCCAAAATAAAGATTTTTGTTTACATAATATATGTGTGTATATTTATTATGTATATATAAAGACACACACATACAGCATATATTTTGAAAATATTTACATGTATATATTTGTTCATATAAATTATATCATATACAAACATATTTAATATATAAACGTAAGATATTTTAAAAAATATATACATGCATGTGTGTGTATTTACGTATATATACATAAATATACACAGTACACACACATATATTATGTAAACAAAAACTTTTATTTTGGATGCGATTAATCGTGATTAATCGTTTGACAGCACTACTCATGAGCAATCCAGCTATAAATCAGAGTTTAAAACTCTATTTGTGTTTGAGTTATTGGTGGCACATTCACAAATGCTCAGTGTGTTTCCACAAGAGAATTAGTACAGCTGAGGGAAAGCTTTTCAGCAAATAACAATTTAAACTTCACTCTGTTTCTCACACAAGCTATCATATGATTTTAGAAGACTTGGGATATAGCAAATCATATGGACCTTTTTTTGGTTGTCATTTTTGGAGCCTGACAGCCCTTGTGTCCATTTACTTTCATTGTAAAGAAATGAGCAGCTTATACGTTCTCCAAAATATCTCCTTTTGTGTTGCATGAAATTCATACAAGTTTGGAACAGCATGTGAGTGAGTAAATTATAATTTTTGGCTACACTATGCCTTTAAATCCACAAAAAAGATTTTAAAGTGCACACAGTATACTTTGATGCACTAAATCTTGCATGTAATGGCTAAATGTTGACTTGCTGCATTTAAGCATGTTTCTGACTGCATGAATGAACTACCCCAATCTGTCATCTACTTGCTTGCAAACACTTTTCAGTCAACTTTTGACTCATCTTTTTTTGATGATTGTTTGTGATTTTTACTAACATCCGCCTTTGCCAGATTTGAGCAGAAGTCAGTGTTGATCTGCACATGAGTGTAGAACTAGGCCACTTTGCTGTAGCTCACACCTGCCTGTCACATTCACTTGTTAAACATATTCACACGTTTTCACTGCCTGCATTTACAGGCATAAGAATATTCCTATATAAATCAGAATTTGGTCGTATTCTGATTATGCTAGCGGACATGTTTCGATAATGTAAGAATATTACATTTTTGTAAACTTAATATAAATGCATGAACCGTAATGAGGTTAAGCCAATATTTTGGTTTCTAGAAATCTGCATGAATTCATTACAATTTTGGATCATGTAAACATTTTTATTTTTGGAATATCCTCCAAATCTGAACATAATATTTCGCTTTTATGTGTTATGTCACGAGGAAAGGTAATTCTCTGTGATATTACTGTAGGGTTCGGAAAAATTAATTGATGAAATACACTTTTGAAGATAGGAATAAACTTTTTATTTATTTATTTTTTAAATAAGTCTCTTCTGTACATGTAAACCAGTGTTAATTTTTTTATTTAGTCTTAGTCTTTATCTTGAGACAAAAATGCTTAATAGTCTTAGTCACATTTTAGTCATTTGAGTCTTTAGTAATTTTAGTCAACGAAAAGTCATTGCATTTTTTCAACTTTTAGTCATTACTTTGTCAAACTGCAGTTACGGACATTTTCTTTTGGTAGCTATTTTATATGTAGTCTTCAAACAAAAATAGTCATTAATTCTTCACTCTTTAGACCAAATAAATTAAGCTTATGAGAAATTTGAATCAAGGGCTGAATTTGGAAAAACTTGAATAAATGATGACAATTTTTTTGGTCTTGTTGACAATTAATGTTCTTATTAACGAAGACACAGCATACATTTCGTCATAGTTTTTATCATCAGATATTAGTTTTAGCGCGTCAACGTCTCGTCTTAGTCACAGAAGAACTATTCGTTCACGAATATTTTTCGTTGTCGTCTTCGTTGAACAATAGCTTTCTCAGAATAATAGCTTAACCCAAATATGAACCTTAATCAGTAAATGTGCATGCAAAGGTAGTCCGTGTCATGTACAGTTCTACAAAACACATCTGCCTGACACGCTGTTGCATTAAGTCAGATTTTGTCTTCTGCAAGTGTACTTCAGTCAGGTAAGTTTGCTAGCTTACATCTGCTCTGCCAACTCACTCAGTGAAACAAGAGCAGTGGTTCCCAACACTGGTCCTGGAGGCACCCCAACGCTGCACATTTTGCATGTCTCCTTTCTCTGACGCACCAGTTTCAGGTCTTGAAGTCTCTACTAATGAGCTGATGACCTGAATCAAGTGTGTTTGATTAAGGAGACATGCAAAACGTGCAGTGTTGGGGTGCCTCCAGGACCAGGGTTGGGAACCACTGCAATAGAGGAACCTGAGAAGTGTTGTGAGCTCCATACATTGTTTTTGCAGAGTGCATGTTGGCTTTGAACCAATCATGGCTAAGTTTTATTTCTTCCTTTATCCCATTTTCCTGTGCTGTTTTTATTCTTTTGTTAAAAAAAAACAACTTTTATTATTGTTTTTGTTTTCCTTTTCCCCAGTCCCTTGCTTTCATAGTCACCCCATTCCCTGCATTTTCCTTTATTTTGCTCTTAAAGATATTGATCAGTTGAAGCTTATCTTGATGCTCGTCGGAACCCCAGAGCCAGAGCTCTTGATGAAAATCTCTTCAGAGTCTGTGAGTTTTCTGTTCTGCCTAAGTTTGGCTCTCTCTGTGTCGCAATGACGACCTGGCGATCCTTTCTGCTTGCTTCAGTCACGCCGGTCACTCATGTCGCATCATTTTTCCCCCTTCCTTATTCACTTGCATGAACTACTAGTTATGCAATCATCTTAAAATAGGCAGTAGTAGGCAGATGATTTTGCAAAATCAGCCCACGCTTACGAGGGTATAACAATGGCTTTCTCAATGCTCGCTCTTCTGCGTCCTGCACTTCCTGTGTCTTTATCAACACTAGACTGATTCACATGGTATGCATGGGTCTTATCTAACATAGAGTGCATATGTGTTGCTCCTCCTCTTCTTCCTATCCTGTTTTTCCCCTTCTCGGTATCAAGCCGGCGACGTAAAGCAAACCGATTGGTCGCATTGTTTTCCTGTTTTCCCACTCATATTTGTGAGTGTATTTTATCGTACACCCCTTGACCTGGGTTCCCCAAGATATAAACCAGCTTCAGCAGATAATGCGACTGACGGGAACCCCGCCGGCCTCTCTAATAAGCAGGATGCCGAGCCACGAGGTGAGAATGTCGCAGAAAATCCTCCAGACCCGGGCCGCTCTGAAAACATGTGACTACGTTTCCCCATGAGACTCTTTTCTATTTGCATGGGTCGTTTTTTATTTATTTTTTATTTTTTCAAACTCCCTCTTTTCCAACTGCTGCCTGCTTTTCGTTTGCAACACGTCTGACCTAATTTCCACCCACAGCAGTTCTAGGGTTTACTGCAAGGCTGAGCTTATAGACAAACACCGCCACTTGTTTTAAACACAGGCATGCAGTGAGTTCCAACTGCTTAAGCTCTAACATGCAACGGTGAATGTTCCGTGCAGTAAACAAAAGCCATGTTTGTTTAACATGCAGAAGCACTGGTGTGTATTGTTTGAGGTCCACTGGAAAACACTGAACGAGACTGATCAAGATAGAGATTAACATTCCAGAAGAAATATGATGTTTTTTGGAAGAACAGAAATTGGCCCAAAAAATATTTGCACATTTTAACCACAGTGTGAAGATCATTGCATTAGATATAAAATATCAATGGCATTTATATATTTTAAATATGTGACCCTGGAGCACAAAACCAGTCTTAAGTCGCTGGGGTATATTGTAGCAATAGCCAAAAATACATTGTATGGGTCAAAATTATCGATTTTTCTTTTATGCCATAAATCATTAGGATATTAAGTAAAGATCATGTTCCATGAAGATATTTTGTAAATTCCCTACTGTAAATATATTAAAATTTATTTCTGATTAGTAATATGCATTGCTAAGGACTTCATTTGGACAACTTTAAAGGCCATTTTCTCAATATTTAGATTTTTTTGCACCCTCAGATTCCAGATTTTCAAATAGTTGTATCTCAGCCAAATATTGTTTTATCCTAACAAACCATACATCAATGGAAAGCTTATTTCCATCATCTTTCATATGATGTATAAATCTCAATTTAAAAAAATTGACCCTTATGACTGATTTTGTGGTCCAGGGTCACACATGGATTAATTTTGCACAAAATAATTTAGGCTAAGATCATTCTTAATCTCAGTAGAGCGCTGCAGCGATGACACATTTTTGTAGGCCAGTCCTGAAGTTTCCCTCGACAAAAACCCAATAGGATTTTTCCATTGGCTTTTGGATTAATGCTGAAAATAAGCTCTGTGACCAACAATAGTTTATTATTGTTACACGTTTTGTTCGTAATCTTCACAAATGAACACAACTTTCATGAATTTTGAAGCTTAAATACAATCGGTAGAAGTAAAAATCTAAACGAACTTCACCACAATTGCATGACTTCAACATCACCACCATTAAACACTTTCAGTCTTTATTTAAAAAACATTTGCTCTGAAAGTTTTAGTTAACACAACAAGGCTGTGAAAGTTGACTAGATGGCGTTTAATGTCGTTGAGAACCTCTGTAGTCCCATTTAACCACTTGTTATCAACCACCTTTTTCAAGCCAAGTCAAAATTCACAGGCTATTACTGATGGATTTTATGTTGAAGAATAAAACCTGAAAATATCTTGAGCTTGTATTAACCCAATAATTATATATTATTTTGAGCTTATTTCAGGCATTTATCCAGAAGCCCATAAAAAAAAAACATTGGCTTCAGGACGATGGAACCATAAGTGCTAACATGCTAATTTGTTTCACATGTTTTGGCCTACAAAAATACATCATCCTTGCAGCACTCTATATTGTCATGCTTTTTTCTTAGCCATCTTTGTTTGCTTTACTTTGTCCTGGATTTTGTCCTTATTTTGACTCTTTAATAATTATATGTGATCCTTTAATGTGTGTGTGTGTGTGTGTGTGTTTTAAATCAACAGGCCAGGAACTACATCAATTCCCTTACTTATATGCCCAAGAGGAACTTCGCAGAGGTGTTTATTGGTGCAAACCCAATGGGTAACAATTCTGGCTTTTTTTTCACATCACCTAGACTTCTTTCAGAACCGGCCCCCGCTTCCAGTAACTTAAGAGCTGAGCAATAATGTGATTAACCTCATCAGCCGATTTTAAATCGAGGTCCAGGGCCCCGACAGGGAGCCACCTTTTTTTCTTCTTTTTTTTTTTTTTTTTTTTACAAGGCTGTCAAAGTTAACATGTTAACTTAAGGGATTTATTGTTTAATGTAATAATTCATTATTTCTAGTCAGAAATCATGATGTTAATAACAATGATATAATTTATAATTGACAGCCTTAGTTTATAACTACTATAAATAACAAGTCTGATTTCTATTTTAAAGTTTTATATTAAATATAAAAATAAAGGAAATGTTTTTTTTAATAATACATACTACCATTTGGGGTCAATATGTAAAAAAAAAAAAATGTAGTTAATACCTTTAGTTTCAGCAGGGATGCATTAAATTGATCAAAAGTGACAGTAAAGGTGTTCATTATGGAAGAGGATTAGGGCCAGACAATAATAAAAAAATAAAACCATCTCAAGATTAAAGTCATTAAATTTAGAGAACAAACTCGTAAAATATCAAGAAAAAAGTCGAGATAAAATGTTGAGAATAAACTCATTGAATTATGAGAAAAAAGTTGTTAAATTGCGAGAAAAAAGTTATGTTTCGAGAAAAAAAGTCGAGATAAAATGTTGAGAATAAACTCATTAAATTATGAGAAAAAAGTCGTTAAATTTCGAGAAAAGAAGTCGAAATAAAATGTTGAGAATAAACTCATTAAATTATGAGAAAAAAGTAATTTAGAAATTTAACAAGTTTTTTCTCGAAATTTAACGACTTTAATCTTGAGATGGTTTTATTTTTTTATTACTGCTTGGCCCTAATCCTCTTCCGTAGTTCACAGTTACAAAAGATTTCTATTTAAAATAAATGATGTTCTTATAATTCAGAAACTTTCTATTCTTCAGAGAATCCTGAAAAAATATGGTTTTCATGAAAATATTATGCAGCTGTTTTCAACATTGATGGTGATGATTATAATAACAATGATAAATTATTAATTATAAATGCTTTTTTTTCAAATCAGAATATTAGAATGATTTCTGAAGGATCGTGTGACACTGAAGACTGGAGTAATGATGCTGAAAATTCAGCTTTGCATCACAAGAATAAATAATATTCTAAAACACATTCAAATAGAAAACTGTTTCTTTAAATTATAATAATATTTAAAAAATATTACTGTTTTTACAGTATTTTTGGTCAAATAAATGCTGCCTTGTTTAGCATAAACCATTCAAAACCATTAGTAAAAATTATCAAAGTGTACTAAAATATTGTTTAATTGGTTTTTGGTACAGTGACAGTATATAAGCTCTAAAAAAAAAAATCTAAATTGATAATATAATTTTTTTAAATAGTCTTACAAAAACATGTTTTCATAATGTCACAATATTTTCCTCACACAGTATAAATTGCTCTTTTATATATTAACATATTTAGCTGCGAATATAGCTTTTTGAGGCCCTGTCCTGCGTTATCTGTTTTAGCTGTGGACCTGCTGGAGAAGATGCTGGTTCTGGACACAGATAAACGGATTACTGCGTCACAGGCTCTCGCGCACCCGTACTTCTCCCAGTACCACGACCCGGACGACGAGCCCGAGGCAGAGCCCTACGACCAGAGCTTCGAGAGCCGCGAACTAGACATCGAAGAGTGGAAACGTAAGCCTGCACTGTTTAGATCTCGCAGACAAATGATATTTTACTGACCGACCTCTCTGCGATGCAACAGTTGCACTTGTTGTCAGCACTTTTAACAGTCAGTGTGTGTCCGCAGGGCTCACGTATGAAGAGGTGATCAGCTTCGAGCCTCCCGACGGAGACGAGATGGAGTCATGAAGGCTGCTCCACCTCCAGGACCTTCATCCGTACATGAAAATGACATTCAAGTGCCTGCCATCATCAAGCGCTGGCTTCCCCGTGTTCTGAGTCTGCTTATCCATGCCTTCATACACGCTCTGTCAAATAAGGGGAAAAGAAAACGTGCAAACTTTAAAAAAAAGGACACCGAGAATGTAAGGTTTTGTGTCCTGTGCCCCAGTAAGTTCAAGCCCACATATTGTCATCATTTACTTGCCTCATGTTTTTCTAAACCTGTATGAGTTTCTTTCATCTGTTGAACACAAAAGAAGATATTTTGAAGAATGTTGGAAACCAAACAGTTGCTGGTAGCCATTGGAAGTCAATGGCTACCAGCAACTGTTTGGTCACTCATACACGATTGGAACAACTTGAGGGTGAGAAAATGACAACATTTTCATTTTTGGGTGAACTATCCCTTTAACTACTCTTTTGGACAGAACACTTGAAATTAGAGATAAATGTATATATATCAAAAAAACAATCAGTCAAATTCAAAACAGCATTTTAAGCTCAAAGTTTAATATTCTTTCTCTGGGGAAGCAAAACATTTACCTCCGGACTCCACTTGTAGCCTACACAATAAATAGAGGGCAGAAAAACTCAAGTACTGTCAGAATACGAAGTTTTAGATATGTAAATAAAACGGCACTGCTGTACATAAATGATAACAATGTGCACCAACAGTTTTGTGAACGAGCTAAAGAGTGAATCCTGTCACCTAAAGAGGATGTAATTATTATTTAGTGCTCTGTGGAGAATGTAAACAGAAGAGTATATATAGACTCAGTGTTCTTCTGCCAACTGCATCTCTGTCTGTCTCGGACAATAATAGATGACACAAACAGTAATGCTGTTTACACGAATGAATGCAGATATGCTTGTTCTGAAAATGTATTGGGCAATATTTAGAAAAAAAAACATGTGGTCAGTGCTAAAGTGAGAATGTAAAATTACTCACAACTTTTACAACTTTTTGTACATATAAAATATAATGGGCGAATCTCACGAAACCTCTTCAGAACATGGCCAGATCATGATGAACTACAAAATCAGAAAAAAAATGGTAAAATATATTTTAAATATTTTTGCATAAAGTCAATAATTATGTTTCTATTATTTGAGAATCAATAATTATGTTTTATATTATTATTTATATATTAACGATTTGTTCACATAATGCTTATTACCATAACGCAAAAAAAAACTAAACAAAAATCAAGTCAAACTGTAAAGGTTTCTAAAGATATGCTTCCTTTTTTTTTTACTATCTGTAAAAATATTTTAGTTTTAGTTTTGAATTTGTGGTGAAATGCGGTTTGGACATGTTTTTGACTGGTTTTTGTATGATATATCCTTGTTATCTGCCTGATTTTCTGCCAGTTCTTCAAACGCTCGCGGTTCTTCACTCCGTGTTAAAGGCCAACTGATGCTTTAGCTACACTAGAGCATAGTTTCTCCCCTCATTAATGTATTGTTTATGTAAATTGAGAGAAATTGGTTTACAATAGGGATCGAGTTGATCAACAGAACAACTCCAGGAGCATTATGGTCCACAATAAAATAGTTCCCCTTTATTTTCGCTTGCTCTGGGAAAGACGTTCGGCCAGAAAGTTAATGTTTGCAAAAGTGAAAGCACCTGAGCCAATATTCTGCTTTTCCGTTGAGCACGATGATGTTAATTTAACATCCCAGACTAGAAGACTGTGTCATCAGGAATGTGTTTTCTCAAGCAGAGCCGGCATCTTTATTGTATCAGTTGTTTAAGATTCTTTTGAACGTGTTTTCCTTTTCACTGTATATTATCACTTAATTTTATTCGGCAATATTTTCTGTGTTGAGCATGTATTGTTATATGTGATGGGGTGTGTTGGTTTGTTTGTATGCACGGTTACCGTTTTCTGACGAGTGGAAAATCACTAAACGCGTCAATCAGGGGTGCATCGAGCTGTAAAATCTATTAAACGTGGTTTATACTTCATTTTTTCGCATGGAATCCGTTTTTCATGGAAAAGAGATTATTGTATGTTCTTTTTGTGCATATAACCGGTTTTTCTTCAGTCACACACAAGTTATGTGGTCTGTGGACGACCACTGCTGTACAGGAATAAGGGCAATTCTTTTTCACAACACTCATTATTTGGTATTTCTTTTGCGCAAAAATAGTAAATTGTTTTCTGTTCTTACCTAATTAAAACGTAAAGTTGCGTCTGCACACAAATTTTTTTATTTTTTTTTGAAGAAACACTGCCACCAAGTGGTAATTACTCCTAATACACACTCAAAATGTCTGAAGTGTGAAATAGTTTGTTACATAATTAATATGTAGGCTATTGCAGATTACCGCAACCCACACCGTAATTCTTAATATATGAGGCATCTTTTATAAAATCACCTCTGGTGACACCAAAAGCTCAGTAAACTCAACAATGGAGTAAAATAATGCGATAGACCTGTAAAAAATGTATGCAGAGAAAAAAGGCTACAATTAACTGAACACATTTTGACAGTTTGTGACAACATGCCCCAACAGCATAGCGCGCATTTTGGGATTGCATTGTGTACGTTCTTATAGGAAACTGCACTGATTGACAATGATTTGAGAAAAATGCCTGAATTATGAAATACTGTTAAACACACACAACATACAGTATCTGCATTTAACCATCTGGTGCTATACTTGTTCAAAAATTACCTTTTTTTCCCCCCATTGAAATCAATGTATTATATTTTAGTTCGATAATGTATTTCTATTTTTTAGGTGATTTATGGTAGTAAATTACATTTATGGAATAGTTATGATCCATTTATTGCCTGTTAACCACATAGACCTGACAATGAAATATTCAACCTAAACTGTTGGAAATCTTGAATGCTTTGGAGCACATTACTTCGGTTTGGGTTCTTTTTTTTTTCTTTTTCTTTTTTTTAAACATACTTGGCAGATAATTGCTGAAGTAAAAAAAGAAGGCAAAAAACTGTTTAAGAAGTTATAAAAATGTACAAAATGCTATTTTTAAATTTGACATTAAATATTTTACAAAATATGTTTTACTCTAAAACTGCGAGAGAATCGAAGGCATAAATTTAAAGTTGTGTTCCAAATTTGAGGTTGATATCTTCAAAATAAACTGTGTGCGTGTGTGTTAACAGTGCCAAAACCATTACCAAGTTTCGTACCATTCCGATGAAATTCTTAAAAAAAAAGAGAGAAAAAAAAGAATGGCCGAACAGCACCAGAGGGTTAATATGTATTGATGTATTTAAAACATATTTATACACTCAGTCTCTTGTCTACTCTGAATGGTCCCTTGTTCACCCAACAACTATTAAACCAGCCTTGACTCAAAACCTTGTGACAACTTCTCTCTGCTGGACTCATGTAAGTACATGTGATGTGGGTGTGACACTGTAGCTCTGTTCAGTTCAGTTGTTGTTGGGGAAGTTTTGTGCGCATGCGCGGACCGTTACATGTGAGTTAATCTGAGCATTTAGCCGCCGGTGCAGCAGCATGGAGAGGAAAGGTGAGCATCAAAACTACGGTTCCACACAACAATCTGTTGCAACAGCGTACATATAAATATAAGTAAACAAAGCATCCAGTCTGAATCATATCTGTGCTGTGAATTTAAGCGCTGTGAGATTTCCCAGTGTGTGCTGATAGAGACAAAAGCCCATGTGTGTTTAGCTGCCGCTGCTAACCTAACAATACTGCGGCTTTACAGCAACATCTGCTTATATTGCACTGTTTATCAGCAACGCGGACAATTGTTGCTTATGTATGAACCTTTTTTAGCGTGCCTCTGATTGTAATCGCTGTTTGTTGTAGTAGTTATATTCATTTGTTTTCTTGCAGCCTCGGTTCTTGTGAGCTTTTTGCTAGCTGAACTTTCTCTTGTTTTCGTTCGACTTTAAGAATTACGATATGTTTATCATAAATGTGTTTGTTTTATTCTACTTTCACTGTTGTTTGTGTGTCAACAAAATGCTATCAGCATAAACCGATAAAGCCGCCAAAATCTATTTTGTTGACGATATGGTTAATGTTACCGCCTAAATGCCACATTACTGTCTACTGTAAAAGCATAATGAACTTTTAGGGAATATGGGAACTATAATAAGCTTTTCAAATATACCCTATATATTTGTCTGTCGTGTTGGTTCTAATCTATTGTTGATGACCGTTTTCGCTCATATGAAGTGCCCATTGTTGCATCTGTAGTAATGTTGAGTATCTTGAAAACTATGATTAAGTTTCCAACTTTTGATGGTGGTTTTGTGGCGACATAATGTCCTAATACCGGTCTCTTAACATAAAAGAAATATTACTTTTATCTGTATTATAGATTAATAGGTTTAGTTTTTACCAAACAATTTATGAGAAGTGCCTAAATAAAACTATTTATGTGTTTTTTAACAGTACTTGCACTTCAGGCGAGGAAGAAAAGGACCAAAACCAAGAAACCCAGCAAAAAGTGAGTAAATTCGAGTGTGGATTCGGTTTATTGTTTGGTATGAAGTTGTAAAGGAGGTCTGAACATGATTCGAAAACATTAGGTATAGTGCTATAATAGTGGAAACGGTAATAATAATGTGCTCTATGGAGAGATAGTTTATCTCCAAAAAACTGCATCTCCATGGAGCTTTATTATAGGGTTAGTTCACCCAAAAATGAAAATTACCCCATGATTTACTCACCCTCAAGCCATCATAGGCGTATGTGACTTTCTTCTTTCAGGCGAATACAATCTGAGTTATATTAAAAATATCTTGGCTCTTCCAAGCTTTCTAATGACAGTGGTTGAGATTTTGAAGCTCAAAAACTTGCGTCCATCCATCATAAAAAAAGTGCTCTACACAGCTCCGGGGGGTTAATAAAGTGAATTCTGAAGTGAATCGATTTGTTTGTGTAAACTCGTCACGCTTGTCATGTGACACACAGCAGTAGGCTTAAGTTTTATTTAATTTTTTCTTTTTTATTTGAAATATTCCCAAATGTGTTAACTATATCATGAAGTGTCTCGATTGGAGATACTTCATGGAGGGCTGAGATCACTGACTGAAAATGTGATGTTTAATTAGTCCTCCTCAGATAGTGAGTTTTGACTGTGTCATGTGCACAATGTGGATACATCACATGTCAGCTGTGTGGACACTGGATTGGCAATACTGATTTCTTTATTTTAAACTGTTCTGATTAACCAATATCAGTTCTTAAATCCTAAGGATCAATCTTTTAGTCTATGGTGATGCTTGAA